ATTTGGACGACACTAGTGATTGTTCTCGCACAAGTCCGACATAGACTCGTAACCAGTCTGCGCTACGGCAAAAGAAGTGGTGAGGTTGTTTGCCGTAGGCAGACTGGTACAACTCGGAATTAGTCGAAGGGCTGCGCCCGGAGTTTGAAAAATTTCCCCTCAGCTGGATTTTGCTCATTTCAGGGGGTCTATCAGAACTTTTTCAAAAATCGGTAATCTACAACCCTCAATCTTGAGTTCTGTCTCTTCAGATTTTTTTTTCATTACCCAGAGGGTGAGCTGTGAAAAAGTCAAATTTGGCGGGGAATTGATGACTGCACACAGCCACCTCCTCGGCACTGCTCGGCCCCGGCCAAAAATTCAAACTCCGGGCGCAGCCCTTTGGCGTGGCCCGAGTTGTACCAGTCTGCCTACGGCAAACAACCTCACCACTTATTTTGCCGTAGCGCAGACTGGTTACGAGTCTAAGTCCGACAGCCTTCACGAAAGACTACGTGCAGGCATTGGAGGATCGCGGAGGAATCGGAGCGAAAAAAACCCGCACGGGAATAGAAGACTCTCAAGAGAGCGTAGTAAAACTAGAGCGCAAAAGACGAATGTCGGATTGGATGTTGTACAGAAGAAAGAGAGCCCTGCTGCGCACAGAAGAGTATTTACTATTTCGTGGCCGGGGTGATTTGGACTGTAGACGCGACGGTCAACGGTCGACCTGACGCGGTGCGAGTCGTGCGATGGGACGCCTCGACGCCGATACACACGGCGGTTGATTACCATCTTCCCACAGTGTCTGGTACATACGAGAAAACGAGGAGTTCTACCGCCGGAACCTCGCGCGACCGAACCGCCGGAACCTCTGGGTAGTACTCAAGTAGTACTGTACCTTTCTGCCAGTGATCTTCTTCGTTTTTCCAACGGGGTGTTTGCCGAACACTGTTGCAACATTTTGAGTGCCCTTGGCCATCTTGACCATTGACAGGCAATAATGTGCAGTTTGAAATGGCCGTTGTTCGCTCGTCGACGGTGTTTAGATCTGAGTTGCTTCAGGCGAGCTTTTTACTGCATGTCAGCATTCCCCCTCCGCTCATCGAAAGTCGAACATGCCTCGATGCTGTGAAAACTCCGAGATCTGCCGAAGGCGGTGCAACCGCTGCTGTGCAATCGTCTTTGACCTGACTCCCTCTCGCCATGCCTCTCTTCTCCTCTGCCCACGGATTCCAAATCAATGGCGGAACTTTCATGGACGCTGCCCGCGACATTAATTTGGTCCAACCGCGGGGCCACGACCTAGAAGAGCAGCCAGTGCGGACGCCCATGTCCATTTCACGACAAGTATCGCAGATGTCGGGAGTGCGAAGAAACGTTGGAGTTGCGTCAAGAATGCGACCCTACGGTATGCTTCATGCCCTAAATGTGTGCTCCCGGGTGAATCATTCATCCAAGATGTTTCAAACCGGCCTCACCTTCTGGGGCGTTCGCGCAGTGACGACTCGGGGATCGGGTCCTTACCCGATCCACTTCCAGAAAATGTGGAAACGTTGTTATCCGCTTTCACTCCTCAATCAGGCAGCACAACTATTAGCGGGGGCACATTCATCGGCGGGAATGTCAATCACGTTCGTGACAGTGATACAGGTGAGCATTTCCTGGCTTCTGCTGAGTTTACCACACAACCTCTTCCAGGTCTTCATATTCTCTACCATGCCGCCGCCTGCGACGCGACCCATGACTCGGAAGACAGGTTTCCGCCGCCTCAATGTCATCCCGAAACTCGGACACAGATGCTTGAGGTTCTGTTGAATTGGGCCCGCGGACCGCCAAACTTCCAAACAAACGGAGCTCACTGCCCAACCCGGAACAGTGCTTTTAGCCCTCTCGTTTGGTTGCACGGTCCTGCTGGCGCCGGGAAATCAGCGATTGCGCAGTCCTTTTGTCGGGGTCTCGAGGCAGAGGGCCGTCTGGGTGCTAGTTTTTTCTTCAAGCGGGGACATTCATCCCGAGGACACGCCAAAAGGCTCTTTACAACGATCGCATACCAGCTCGCGGTTTCTATTCCCGACTTGCATCCTCTCATCTGTCGGGCCGCATCAGAAAACCCGGCAATTGTGGACAAATCCCGTTCTATACAGCTCCGGAAGCTGATTGTAGAGCCTTTCCAGGAACTCTCAAAGAAGACTGCCCTTCACACCATGGTCGTTGTCATTGACGGATTAGACGAATGTGACGACCAAAATATCCAGCAAGAAATATTGCACTCGAGCAGTGTCGTGGAAGAACTCTGTCTTCCTCTTCCATACTTTCCCCTCCGCTTTTTCTTCGCCAGTCGACTGGAGCCTCATATCTGCGAGGCTTTTGACGGTGTACTGAAAAGCATCCATCGCCCTCTCAACATTCATCACTCTTTTGAGGATGTTCGTAGATATCTACAGGCTGAATTCACAAGAATCCACTGGGAGCACCATGAAACCATGGCTAGGGTCCCAATGCCTTGGCCATCGCCCACAGTGCTCGATTATCTGGTCGACAAGTCGTCGGGTTATTTCATATACGCTTCCACAGTCATCCAATTCACCGACGATAAAAAGTTCCGTCCCACAGATCGTTTGGAGGTTCTCATAGGCACAAGGCGATCTGATTCTGAATCACCACTAAGTGGTCTGGATCAGCTATATATTCAAATCCTCTCTGATTCCGCTCACCCACAACTCTTCCAAATCTTGGCGGTTCTCGGGGCCAAGTTTCGTCTCTCTGTTCTCCACATCGAGCAGCTCTTGCAGCTGAGGCCAGGTGATCTTAGGCTACTATTACGTGGCCTTCATTCTATTGTCAATGTCCCTGAGAGGGGCTCTGACAACGAATTTCTTCCTATACACCATGCGTCCTTCCTCGATTTTCTCCATGACCAAATGCGCTCTGGGATGTTCTATGTTGGTAGTTCGGAGAGGCTGGCAGATCTTGCCCGCCACTTCCTCCAAGCACTTTCTCACAACGACGTCCATGGGCATCCACACACGAAGAGTCGTCATGTTGCTTGGTCAGCCCTTCCTTTCTGGCGTACAGACAATTACGAATCATCTATTGACAGGCAAGTAGGCCAGACTGTGTTTGAATATATAACCTCGGTTGAGCCGTCACCCGATCTAATCTCCCTACTCCGCTCGTTCAACCCAGACTTTTTGTTTCATCAGGCACACGATGAACACAACTGTATTGTCCGTATGGTATTACATTGGTTGAAGGTATTTGGTACTCCTTCCCCTCAGTTCGGAACGAAGAAGTGACATCCGCTTCCAGAAGAGCCGACCCATACCTGAGGATTTAATTCAACGCTGGACAGATTACCAATTTATGCTCCTGTGTGGTGCCATTTGGTCAAAAAACGGGACGACCAGGCGAAGGGTTAAGACAAGCCGCCGTCATACACATCGCCTGCGCGAGTTCTTATCGCAGGCGCCCCCAGCGCTGATACAAATCCTGTTTGTCCACAAAATTGACGCGATCGTCGGTGTCTTTAGACACTCGAGCCACGGCTCAATCTTCAATATACGCAGGCTAGTGGACTTATCATGGGACGACCTAAGGGCTACTTTGTGTGCTCTTCGTGAAACTATAGGCCAAGATCCGAAAATGTTGGCTCGACTGTTGGATTGCGCCTCAGATCCCACCGTGTTTCAGGGACACTCTGAGTCAACACTACAAAAGGTCGCTTATTCTGCGATACACCATAGGAAGCAGCTTGTGCTAGCTCGCTCCACAGAGCTGCTTTTGTAAACTTTCTTCAATGCACCTCGAATCATATCTGATACTCCAATACTAGGGATCATGCTTGCCCTTGGAGCCGTTTTTTGAGACTATGTCCACCCTCGTCTGACCTTTTACAGGCCCTGCATGAGCTCGAATCTGTGTATTCTGATTCAATATCCTTGGGCCCGTGCTCAATACTTTGTCTGTCAGATGAAAACCTGCATAACATCATTCAATGGCTAGAGGTATGGGACTCCCCATCATGGCATATTGACTTTCACGTTATTTCGTCAGACCTTCCCTCGGCCTCCCTTGGAGTTGATCGACCGGTTTAACCGCCACATTGATCTGGGGGGTCGATTTGAGAGACGCTGGGAAGAGTGGAGAGACGGGCTTGCAAAGTATTTCTTGCAAACCTCATGTAAACACCTCTGAGAACCAAACCAATAGTACTGACCAGGAAGGCGATGGGCAGCATCTTACTAATAACCTCAGCCGCCAGAGGCAAGATGCACCAAGAATAATCTCTCCACCTCCCAAGTGAGCCACTTGTGGAAGGCAAGTAGTGAATAAAGTGAACAGAGAATTTGAATTTGAACCAACATCACGTGCCATGTTAAATTTCGTACCGATCTTCAGCTACTTAGCATATAACATCATCATTCAACATAACACGAACATATATTCTAGGATGTTTGTTGAAGTCCGAGATGCCCGAGCAATTGCAACCCCAGAATATCGCGTCTCCGGATCCCAATTTGGATTCCTCTGAGGCAGGAGCAGTCATCAGATTTGACTCACTTCCATAAACGATATGCTATTAGTCGTGCTGTACTGCGGGTTTCGACGTCCATGCATCATGTCCGGCCTTTTACGGATGGGGTTTCTCGACGGCTCGACTAGACTTGCATTCCAGCACTGGTTTGACTGCGGCTGCCGCCGCAATTATTGTGATACTGTGCAGCTAATCATGGTCTTCTTCATAGTTTCAGCACAGCCGGACTGTCAGTCAGCATTCTCTCACTTCTTTGGTCACCCGTTTGCGCAGATTGTAATATGTTCATTCAGGCCCGACCATATGCCAGTGCATACTGCGTCACGAAACGATGCTACAAAAATACTTCCTCGGTCGTACAGCACTCAAACGAACATGCAAGTGTTGTAATGTAATAATACGAGTTTTTGATCTGCTCCCCATATGCAACTCCGCCGACTCAAGTCTCCATTATTTATACCCTCGTTGAAAGAACATGGTCGTGGACCTGGTGGTGTAATGGTAACACGCCCGTTGTGAATTGCAATGCAATCCTGAGTTATGCAGGAATCCCCTGTTCGATTCGGGGTCAGGTCATAATGTATCCTTCTGTTTTTTGTTTACATTTCGAATTTTAAATTGTCAGCAGACGATATAAGTAAGGTACTAGATAAACAATTATCATGGACCTGGTGGTGTAACCGTAACACAGTTGCTAAGTTTTCAGGGAGAACTTTGTCTATGCAGCGGTCCTCTGTTCGACTCAGGGTCAGGTCATCCATATTTGCTTCTTTTTTCTCTTTTTCTTCTTTTTTCGGGGTCGATTCAAAAAAATTGAAAGCTGATTGAACCCAGCTTAATTAAGTACCACTCCCAATATACTACTCCTTGTCAAAATTTGTTTACTAACCCATATTCATTGGTTTTTTCTTTCTTTCTTTCTTCTTTTTTCCGGGGGTCGATTCAAAACTGAAAAACGCTTGATTGAAAGCAGCCTCAGTACCACTCCCAATACACTACTCTACTACTCCTTCTCAAGATTTATTTACTAACCTCTCGTCAATTATTGTCAATTTCCTTGGAGTTCGGGGAACGGAACGGTGAAGCGGAGACCGAGTTGGCGGTGATTCGGCGCACACTGCCAGCCATTTTAAGTACCTTCGACGACCTGCACGATAGAGTCTCAGCCCTGGCACCGCGGATCCCGGTCCATTTCTCCTTCCCAGCTCAGTTATAGTTTACGTGCCTCGATCGTTTGAACACCGAGTTTCAAAGCACATCGCGTTTGCGTTTGGTTGATCGACGGACCGAAGAGCCATTTCATTTCATTTCGTCCTGGAGATTTGCGGGGGTGTAGATGGTTCGACTGCGCCTGACCGTCGAGCTTGAGCTTGAGCTTAGCTGACCGCCAGACCGCTCCGAGTCGGCGTAATGGAGCTCGGGGTTGACGGGAGTCGTGTGGCTCGAGGTTGACATTGACAAGTAGGTTGAACACTGTCCTATCTCCCACAAACTGTGAGCACTAGTGACAGTTGGGCTGGATTACCCAGAGCTCGTTGGAATGGCGGTCAAGCGTAAACGCCTCTGCTGCCGTTCCACGTTGCTTCTTCCGTCCGCCCGCATTCAATTGCAAGATTTCTGCGGCCCAAGGTAATCTAGTCAGGTCTGCTCATGTGACCATCAGTGCTATTATCTGCGCAATGCCTCGAGACGTGATGGACGCACGCCGTGGCTAGGTGCATACTTGGCCATGATCTCCAGTCCGAGTCAGCCCGACCCAAAATCGAACAAAGACGGCCAGCGACGATGTGTGCGGGGCCAGAGACTGGAAAAGAACACGAGGTTGAACATGTCAAAATACTTAGCAGCGAGAGTACTAGTCTTCACGTACCAGTACTTATTCGGACTCGGCTGGTGTCGAGGAGGTAGATGCTGATTTGATTTGTGTGCACCTTGGGTTACGAGCGAAGAAGCCGCAAGGGACCCGCTTTGCGCCACGCCTCACGCCCCACAGGGACCAAAACTGAGGCAATCTCCCGACCCACAGCGCATCCGACCGTTTTTTGCTTCTTTTCTTTTTCTTCTTCTGAGTTCGAAGAACGGACTGACGCAAAAGAGAAAAGCCAGCCAGCGTACGTCTTGGTACCGTTCATGAATTGAGACGAGCGAGGTGGAGAGGCACTGCGCTCGCACATAGGGCCCTCGGACGACTCGCGCAGCCGAGCCTCCGAGTCGTATGACGTCTGACGATCGCGAGTTTATAGCTAGATACACACCACCCCGAAGCCGACTCGGAGTCTCCAATTTTCAGAGTCGAGTCTTTGAGGCCCGGGAACGGGTGGAAGAGCCGACTTCAGTTGGCGCCGCAGACTCGGATCCAGGACGATTTCCAGTTGCGGATCGCCATCGATTATTATTATTTTGCTTTTTGATGAACACGACTCGAGCGGCAGCGCACACCTCTGGCTGGACGCGAGTCGTCCCAACTTGAAGTTGGCGCGGTAGATCCGGCCGCAAGGACGTTAGACATGAGGCGCGGTGGCCATGGGTGGCAGTTCGCCACCGTGTGTCATGAATGCAAGGGACCGACATACGGCTTCCGGAGACCAGAGAGCGTGCGGGGATCAAGCAAAGTGAAAATTTCACGACACGCAAGGCTTGAGTTGTCACGGTGTCGATGCAGCCGGGAATGTCATGTATAATATTAATGTTGCGCCGAGTCGAGGAGCTCCGAGCTGTGCGCGGCAGCGAGGATGGGGAACATCGGAGGAAGCGGGAATTTGATGAATGCACTTGATCTCGCTTGAATCGGCCCGACAAGTGCTCAAGTGCCAAGCGATCGAGCCAGGTTCGATTCCCGCACAAGTAAAAAAAGTTTTTTCTATGGAGCGCACCGTTGTTTTCACGCACATTGGAACAACATTTTTGTTCAAAAAAATTCGAGGTCGAGGGAAAAAACTCATTCAAGTGCATTCAAGCGCCAAGAAATCCGTCGAAAGGCTGATGCGACAGTGGACACAGTACTACCTGGCGCGACGACGGAAGTTGCAAACCACGCGAGGAAGGGACCCACACCACCCACAAGCGGCGGTTCGAGGATTGAGTGATTATTTCTTAAAGCCGAGACGCGATGAGATAAATGGCCATGATCGCGAGCAAAGACACGTAGCCAAGCCGCAACTACTATGCCGCGGCGTAGGGTTGAACGTTGAACCTGCCGGACACCGCATATTCCGAGAGTCGGAATCGTAATATGCTATTAGTGAGCACTGAGCACTGGAAAAAAAAAAAACATCCCCAACTTGAAGTTCCAACTATGTACTTACCTTATTCAAGTTGTCAGCACATACATACTGTACATACATACGCATAGCACCCGCACCCGTCCGGCTCGGGAGCTCGGGAGCGATTGTACTTACATGTCATGTCAAGCCCGTACCGCGACGCGCAACTGCAGACTAGTACCTATTATAGTAGTACTGTAGTCTGAGTAAGGCGCGATGCGATTCCCGAAGCGACGCGAGCGGGGGGGGCCGAGGGACACGCACTCTGCTTAGTCGCACTAATTTTCGTGTGTATCGTGGGTACCTGACCTACCTGCCTGGCATACATACGACGCCGGACGGCCGCCGGAGAGCGATTCCATTCGGTTTCCTTTCCTGCCACTACAGTACTACGTCGTACAGTAGTAGTGCTGGCAGCGCGGCGGCCTTCGCGCGGCGGCGGCCGAAAAGACAAGGACAAGGACAAGGACAAAACAAAAAATAAAGACAAAGGCCCCTTCCTTTTCTTTGTCTTTGTCTTTGTTTTTTGTGCTGATGGTTTGATATTGATCGGTTTTGGGCGCTCGCTTTCCTCCACCGTCGCCCACGTCCTCCCTCTTCCACCGCTGAGTCAGCCTGCCCCCATTCATTCCTCTGACCATTCACTCCTCACTCCAGGTCACTCAAGCTCCCCGCTGCAAGTTCGGGAGCCGCTTTCCGCCAGCCGCGGCGGCCAAATACTCCGTCTTTGCAATTGTCAGCGCTGCAATAATGGACATGCAAGACCGCGCAATCAGACGCACTTCGGGCTCATCAGTTTCCCTACCCAATCCCAATCCCAATTAACACCTTCACGTTCCACGGATCGCGCAAGGCATTGCATGCCGAGTCCCGACTAAGGACTTCAACGAGATGCAAGTCCAAGTTCGAAGGCGACAACTGTCACCTCAAACATAATATGCTCAGTCAACTGTGGAATCCCATGGCCACCTCAATTAATATTGCTCAAACATACAGTATCAGCCGTCAAGGATTTCAAGTTGCAGCTGTCTGCACGTAATACTCAAGCTTAAGGTCTCGATGGTCTCTCCCGGGCCGTCGCAGGCCCATCCCCATCTACTACTAGATTTATCCGCAAAAAAACCCACCACCGCTACTATGGACCAACCACTGGCATCATCTCGCACGACCAGCGTGTTCGCACTATCTATCTCGACCGGGTCTCACTTTCGACTCGAGCAGGATACATAGCTACTCAAGTTAGTCAGTCTTTCTGTGATAATAATAATCTTTGGTCTGAATCATTCATTCATTCATTTTTTTTTTTCAGATGTCCTCTGTTTCTGTTCTGTTCTGTGTGAGTCTGGATAAGTTGTAACAATGTGTGAAGAGGCCTGAGCTGGCGCCCGAAACCGGAAGGCGCTGGGGAGGAAGGGCTTGTCTGCGCTCGCGACATCCACAATAATTGCCAGTGTGGGGCTCGTGAACGTCACACACGCAGATCATCGATTGTGGAGATTTTGGAGATTGTGGGGCGCGTAAGGCCTTGTAAGCCCTGTCAATTTTTTCCGAATTTGGTGGTGAGAGAAAGGACTCCGAGTCGGATGAGAGAGAGCCTTGCACTGGATGCGCATTGCGCCCCCACCACGGCCACTGACAGGCTCTCTTCTTAAGCTTGGCCCCAGCTCCGAGTATGTAGTTCGACTATGTCGCATTCAATTCCACTTCCACTTCACATTATATATATTTTCCTCGTACAGTACTCTACAATATTATACTATTCCGCGTCATTCCTATTGACTACTTGTATGTAACGTGTGTGGCCCGCATCCCAATATTTAAACCAAAAAAATAAATGGGAAGACGTGGTGCGAAGGGGAGGAGACGTATGTGTATGCATGTGGAGGGAGGGAAGAGCAAGGAAAAGAAGATATATAGGTCCGTATGTCCGTGGGTCGCCGCGAGCGCGGCGTTTTATGTACAGTATCAGGCGTCTAGGGTCGTTGTTCGTTATTCGTTCGTGTTCTTGGTCGTGTTCTTGTTCGTGTTCGTGCAGTCGGGTGGGGGGGGTGGGGGTGTTTGGGTGCGGATGGTGTTGTGGTGGTGGTGCAGTCCGGGCGATGGCGCGGTGAGATAGTGGCGCGGTGGTGCGCTCGTGTGCGCGGTGCGCGATGATGGGTGGGTGCGCGGTGCGCGGGGTGTGTAGGCGTGTGGACACACGCTGTGGTGGTTGGTACATATATACGTCCAGAAGGAAGCCTGCGCGCGTCGGCGATGCGGGGTCCGATGCGGGGTCGGGTCGCGGGTATAGGCAAGCTATGTATATCGTTCGGG